TTTGGGTTATGAAACTGTTCTGTGTAGCATTGATGGAGAAATAATATTGTATACTTCCAGACCTCATTCAACATGGAATACAAAGATTGAACCTTAATATATAAACTAAGGACTTTTGTTAATAATAATACTGGTGAATCACCATTGTTTTCATGTCTGTGACAAGTGCACCACATCAATGCAAAGTATTAATTTGGAAACCTGTGTTTTTGATGAGTGGTGTTTTGGAACTGTATTCTTTCTATGAAATGTTTCTATAAAACCAAAACTTCAGGGCTGGAGAGATGGCTCAGTGGTTAAGAGCACTGACTGCTCTTCCAGAGGACCCGGGTTCAATTCCCAGGACCCACATGGTGACTAACAACTATCAGTAACTCCAGTTCCAGAGGAATCCGACACCCTCTTTTGACCTTTGTGGGCATTGCACAACACAGGTGCACTTACAAACATGCAGGCAATACACTCATATATATAAAATAATAAATAAAATATTTTTAAAAACCCAAAACTTCTCTGATGATAAAAACTATTTAAATTATCTCAGCAATATAGATTATATTCTCTTGATAATGCTTTCATTTGAAATTTGGACAAAATAAATCTCTTCCAACATTGCTCAGCAAAGTATACAATTCAAGCTTTCTGTATTCTTACAATCAATGGTAATATCAACATATGTGTAAAAGACTGAACAGTGTTCATTATTAAGCATTAATAAATAATAGCAATCCATTCATTTTGTTTAACACATGATTTCAAGGCCATCAGTATTTTCCAGGTGTGCTTAAGAGGGTATTTACACTGTCTTTTTCTTTATGGTCGTTATTCTCTGCTTACTGTATGACAGATTGCACTCTTAATGGTGAGCTATGACTGTGCAAAGTACACAGATTCTGTCTGTCTGTCTGTCTGTCTGTCTCTCTCTCTCTCTCTCTCTCTCTCTCTCTCTCTGTGTGCATGTGTGTGTGTGTGTGTTGTGGTGTCTGTGTGAAGCTATTTTCCTTTGGGGCATAGAAATTTTCCTCAAGTGTACAAAGCAAAAACCTTTTCCTCACGTGGACAAAATTAATTTGGGGCTATTTCAGAATATAAAATAAATGATATGAGTGCTGTTATTCATACTACGCTGGATTTTTTCACATCTACTAATTATTAAGGAGCAAATTTTTATGCTTTGAAGAATTATTATTTTCTTAATCATTATATTTTTAAGTTTTTAATAACTACATGATTAGAAGCTTTTCACTACAGCTTTAACATATTCAGTAACACACTCCAGAGCAAGAGTACATCTCTTTCACAAGTGGGTGCAAGTTTCTAGGTTCACAGTTGAATTAATATAGTTATATATTATTGAACTCAGTATAAACCCTGTAAGGCATACAATTGGATGCCTTTTTAACCTTTAAAAAAGAGCTCCATTTCATTTTAGAATAGATTGTTCCTTGTAGAAAGACTCATTGTTTATGCCACTAACACTGAGAGGTTGGTGCTTGCATCTCTAATCTGTATGTATATGATTATTACTAGTCATATATTTTTTGTTATTCAAATACTGCAAGGCATTACTAATGATCTAATGCTTGTTTGCATACTCTATAATAATGCACATAGTACTACATTACCTGACCGCCCTGATCTTCCCGGTGCTCCTGGGTATCCTCGAGTTCCGGGGAAGCCAGTTGATCCTTGATCACCTTTAAGACCAGGAGGACCTATATAGTTAAAAATGAAACAAAAATGTGTAACAATTCAATTTCCAAACATATTTAAAAACCCAATAAATGAAGTAAGTGAATTTCTAAAGGGGAGGATAATAACTTTCCTAATATTTTGAGTTCCACTGAAAAGTAATGCAAACAATAGATATAAATAGCAATACATTGAGTATGATGTGGCTAGTTCAAAAAAGCACATTGTCAATAGAAATAAAGGTACATGATAAAACAATAAAACTTGAGGTTTTAACAGGAAGGCTAATGTAATCAATAAGCAAATTTCAAATGACAAGTATTGCTATATCTGAACTGCTATCAGGATGAAACTTTCATTTTTAACATTTACGTTAGTAAAAGTACAGTAAAAACAATGAGAAGTATATGCACACCACTGACTTGTTTGTGGGTATAATATACCTACACACACACACACACACACACACACACACACGATTCCTAAACAAAACAGAAGATGAGCTTTATTTCAGCTCATATCTCTGATGATCAAGATAACTGAATATAAAAGTATACAGTGTACTCTTATGCAATAAAATATTTCCTTTCAGAGCTCATCAATTTGTGTGTTTTATTTTGTTTCAATTGTTATTATTACAGCCCACTAATCTAATATAGAATTAGATCCTCCAGGAAGGCATATTATAAGGAAGTTATTCTAATTCTTTCTTAAATGTCAAATTTTAGAATTACTGCCTTCAATTTACAATATCCAGGGTGCAGATTTCACATATATTTAATCTGTCTAAAAATATTTTCTCTTCATAAATACAGCTAAAATTGCATTGTTATCTAAGAAATGTTCAGTTTAAGAACTACGTGATGACAGTCATGGCATATTATTAAACTCAGTAAAAAACTTTCATTCCAACAGAAATTAAGTATATACCTAAATAAGTGATGAGTTCTATTGTAAAGATGTGTCATTTTAAGTCAATTTAACTACTTGATGTATACTAATTGGTATATATACTATAATGCATATTATATCCTATGTGTCACTGATAAATATTTCTACATTCCTTCATTGTATAGCCAGACCTTTGCACTTACAATTATTGAAAAACATTGTGGTTTGGGTACAAAATGTCCTCTACAAAGGTTCACATGCTATTGGTCTGTTGGGGTTATTGAAATATGATGATATCATAAGGGCACCAACATTATCAGTGGATTAATCAATTCATACATCACAGCTGACAGACTATTATGATGACTTATCACTCTGTAAACTCTGTGAAGGCAGCAACTCCTTGTTTGTTTGT